GGGACCCCTAATCCTAATACCCTTTCTTTTAACCCTTCTATACCCCTTATATAGTCTCATAAAGCCCTATATAACCCCAAGGGTCCCTTTAAGGGTCTCTCCTTTAGTCCCTTGATCCAAGCTAATCGAAGACCTGCACAGTCCTACGGATAGCCAACAAACTCATGTGGGATACAAGCTCCGGGTTCAGTGTTTAGAGTTTTTTCGTTTTTGGGCTTAGGGTTCCTAAACCCTAAAACCTAAAACCCTAAAACCCTAAATCCTAAAACTCCTGAAACCATAATCCCTAAAACCCTAAAACCCTAAACCCTAAAACCCTAAATCCCTAAAGCCCTGAGACCCCAAATCCTAAAACCATAAACCCGAAACCCAGGATGGATCCTTGAGGTTTCCCGGCATCAGGATGTGAAGGTTTAGGGTTTATAGGGTTTATAGGGTTTATAGGGTTTATAGGGTTTAGGGTTTAGGGTTAGGGTTTCACTGGCTTGTCGAATCGTAGATGACTTTTGAGGCTTGCTGCTCAGCTCGTATGGGGTTTGGGGTTTAGGGTTTTAGGAGTTCAGGGTTTTAGGGTTTAATTGGGGTTGAAGGTTTAGGGGTTGAGGGTTTATAGGGTTTACGGGTGTGAAAGTTCAGGGACAGCTGCTGAATCGCAACTACCGCCACCACACCGGCACCCCAGGTTTACAACGTCGATGGCCGCGAGCCACTACGATGCACCTAAATGGAGGAACCATACTAAGAGACCTTGAGTTAGTTCACCCGGGTTTCTTAATCAGGTTCCTGCATTAAACCCCAAAGCAATTTCGGTTGCTATCGGGACTAGACTGTCAGCACACGGGGCTGTCGATGCTATCGTAGCTCCCGGCGTTGCAGTGAGATTCATGGTTCCAATGACGGGATATAGCACAGGCACATGAGTAATTACAGTGCTCCGGGTGCTTGACAATTCAAGACGAATGTCCTGACCTATTCCACAGCAGCTGTAGAAAAAAATAGCACACAAGTCGCCAAGCCTCTGTGCGAAGGATCTGTCTTGCGAACTGAAGCAGTCCTGCGCAGTGTTCGAAGCAAGACGAACCCTAAATCCTAAACCCCTAATCCCCAAACCCTAAGCCCTAAACAACTTCTAAACCCTGAACCTATAAACCCTAAAGCCCGAAACCCTACACACCAAAATCTCGGGTGTGCATAACTTCTGCCAGCCGGCCGGTGTCTGCTGCAGACGGGTTAGTCATGGAGAGCACCTTGCCAAACATGCAGGGTCAGCACATATATATATATATATATACATACATACATACATACATACATACATACATACATATGCAAATACACAGAAAGCGTCGCCCTGAGAGGTCGCCCTGAGGGCCCGGTTTTGCGGGAGAAAGCATATATACATATATACATATATACATATATACATATATACATATATACATATATACATATATACATATATACATATATATGTATATATATATACACATACATATAAATAGATAGAAATATCTATATCTACGACTATGCTATATATATATGTATACATACATACATACATACATACATACATACATATATATATTCTATAACTATATATATATATAGATATTTGTATATGTATTTCCTGCCTTCCTCGAGGTTAGCTTGGCATCTGGTGAAAGGTTGTGTATTCCTGTTTGTTTTACTGGTAAACTGGCTGCTCCAGGTAGATGCATTGTGTTATCCCTAAGGGTCCATGTATATACTTTGGCCTTAATGTAGTCCCTATTTAGGTTACTTTAAGGCCAATGTATCTACTATGTTGGGTACATGGACCCTTAGGGTATGGGATTCATTTGGACTTTCAGGTCTTGGGGTAGGTGGAGCCCGGGGAGGTCTGCTTCGAGTCTCCATTGTAGTCCATTTTTTACGCTAAACCATGTCTTTTCGGACCCTGTAAGGTAACCCCAAGATGGAGCTACAATGGAGACTCTAGCTAGAAGTCAACTATGTTACTGAATATTTGTGAAACATTGGGAAGAGACCTGTAACAACAAAGTTCTTGGCATGTTACCCTCCAGCCGTCCAAAACCAAAACCCCGTGCATTGCCTTAGATCGTATAAGACGCGAAACCCCAATTGCCCAGCCTGCCAGCGCACGCGGATGGTCTCAGTGGGATTGGTGATAAATCCTGTGCATCGTTGCCCAGGACGATGATGAACGACGGATTCGGGGGTCGGAGTGGGTCGGCTGTGACTTATGGAACCGGTTTAGGACCTGTGGTCGAACACCGAGCAACTCAAACACTGAGCCCATAGCCTGCAATCTCTCTGCCTGGCTGATACACTTTCATATGAATTGACTCAACCTCGTCTGGATTGAGTTCTAGGTTCCCCGGTACCCCCTTAACACCAGGGCGATTTGTTCGTACTGTTCAGTGTCCAATAATCCAATATGGAGACTCCTCAAAGAAAAGGGCAAACGGGCGCTAGAACTGCTTCCGCTGGGTTGCTAAACCTTACTCCGGTTCGAAGATCCTAAACCTTGGTTCCTAAGTCCTGAACCCTGGTGCCTAATACTTAGTTGGAATGCCCCAAAACATCCCTAAAGCGACAACAACGGTAAATTGTCGTCTGCCTGCCACCAATCCGGCAGTCACCTGGGTGGCTTTGTGTTGAGGGGTTTCTAAGCACGCTGCCGATGTGCGTGCATACTGTACAATGCTTCTGTCGTCCCGGTAGACATGAAGTAGGGGGTCAAACGTTTAATTTAGGAGAGGAGTCTGTAGATAGACCGCGACCCCGCGACCCCAAGAATACATACAACAAAACATACCGTGAACCCTGAACCCAGAAAAAAAAACAATATATATATATAGGGGCGAAGAACTATAAACCCAAAATCCACGCCCTTGTAAATCTGACGTTCACTTCTGGCTAACAGCCCCCTAAACCCTGAACCCTAAACCAAGGTACTACGGGTTCAATTGACCCGACAATTAGGTGATGGGCCCAGGACCCCTAAGGGTCCATGTGTCCAAATAGTGCATTCTTTGGGGCACCAAAACAGGGACTACTTTAATTAAGGCCAAAGCATCTACTATTTGGGTACATGGACCCTACGCCCTGTATGATCTCATACAGACTTAGGCACTCTAATTTAGAGAACTACCCATATATCACCCTTATAGTACCCGTATATCAACCCTATAGAAACCTGTTGAAGATGTGAGTGCGTGTCGAGGTGAGGCTCAATAAGAGACTCAAGGCATGGCACACGAACTGCAGTTCATACATGACTTTAGCTTTCGATACCGCTGTAGAGACCTAAGGAGTCGAAGCTTCAGATGTCGTCGTTGTGCAGTGAAAAGGTTCCGTCGCGCCATGGTTTCAGCTTTGTAAGTCCTTACAGGCACCTCCCGAGTTTTCTCAGGTTATGAGCGCCCAAGCACGCGAAGAACAAGCTAGAAGGTCTAGCACCCTGGAAGGCGAAGCTTCAAGGACCAAACTATGGTGCGGCAGGCACGGAGAGACGGGCAGTGACCTCAGAACCGCTGCTTAACGGAACAATGAGAGAACCTGCAGTGTTGGATCCCTCCAGCTCATCCTCAGCCCCTGGAACGCTTGAAGTCCCTCTGCAAAGGGCAACCGGACAGTCGGAGCGCGCGTCTACGGCTAACCCTGCGACGATGCAAGGGATTGGTTCTAGGGAGGGTGTGGTTAGGACACAACATGTTCCAACAGCACCACAGCAGCCCCAGCAGAGGCAACCACAGCTAGAAGCAGCAACAGACTCAGGGACCTCAGCCCCAGCGATCTACACCCGCTACTACATCTCAGCAACTGCGTACGGAGACTCCTACGGTGTCTGAACTGGTGCAGCAGAGGGCCCATGAGAGTTTGCTACAGCATGGAACGGTAGAACAAGTGGAACTTCGAAGGGAGATGACTGTGGAGCATGGGCAGAGACCTGAGCTTCCCGATTTACCTGGATCTCCAGAACGCCAAGGCCAGCGAGCCCCAGCATGGTGGACTCGGGTAAGTGAAGTTCTGCAGCGACGTGTTGTTAGCCCGGTTTTGGAGCAAGTTCAATCTGCAGGAGTACCCCGCCTGAGCACGGCAGAGGCTTCACCAACCTCGGTGTGGCATTCGCAACCTGCAACTCCCACCGAGCATGCTCAGCCTTTGATGAGCCACGACCTGAGGCAAGCTATGACTTCGCGGACATCACGCCCATCCTTGCTGACTCCGAGGCCTAGAAGGACAGCTGGGGAGGATTCGTCTAGCGGATCTATCAATCAAGAGGCTGTAGCAGAGGAGGTGAAGCGACAAGTGCAGTTAGCTCTCAGTGAAGGCGCAACAAGACGACTAGAGGAAGAAAATCAGCAGTTGAGAGAGCTTGTGATGCAGATGATGGAGGCGGGAAATCAAGTTGATCAAGGTGGGGATGCAATCCGAGCGGATGGACCGTCAGCACCACCAAGGCAGAGTGGCAATGATGACGGAGAAGGCTTGGGTCCACCTCGAGCGCTACGGGATCCCTCCCGACTTCCACTACAATCTCAGGTACTTGGAGGGCAGGGTGGTTCGGATCAAGTTCGGGCTCCCAATGGACTTCCAGTACAATCTCAGGTACTTGGAGGGCAGGGTGGTTCGGATCGTGTTCGGGCTCCCGATGGGCTTCCAGTACAATCTCAGGTACTTGGAGGGCAGGGTGGTTCGGATCGTGTTCGGGCTCCCGATGGACTTCCAGTACAATCTCAGGTACAAGGAGGGCAGGGTGGTTCGGATTGTGTTCGGGCTCCCGATGGACTTCCAGTACAATCTCAGGTACAAGGAGGGCAGGGCGGTATGAGACATGATCACTCCAGGCCCGGATCAACAGCTCAACCAAGATCGTCTGATGGAGAAGAGCACAAGGATCCTCTCTCATCTGGGGCAAGTGTCAACGTCGCACAGGCCAGTGGCAATTCTGAGAGCGTGGTGTCGGTCATGTGGACGGTCATAAGTTTTCTCAGGAGCCTCGTGGTGTCGATCATGAAGCTGGCGGGACCTTCACCGAAAGAGGAGTGGAGGGACAGAGCCAGCCCAAGGTCGTGGCGGACGAGGACGCAATGGTTGGGCACTTACATTTGCTTGTGCAAGGAATGAGGCAGCTACAACAGTTGCAGATTTCGAAGAAGGACACCCCGGAAACGGAGACCATGAAGGGCAACATCGAGTTGCCCCCAATGCCGGAGCTCGGCGACGCTGCAGTGGAGTTCAACGACTGGCTCTATGTGGCGGAGCAGATGCTGGGAGCGCTAACAGATAGTGCAAGTGTGTGGCTGAGTGAAAGCCTTCGGTGTGCCAGAGAAGCCTACGATCGATACCAGAGGGCCTCAGCTATGGATAGACTGACTATCACACCAGCGCTCACAGCCACCCTTCTGGACAAGAGATGGTACCGGCTAGAAAGACGAGTGTTGACCCTACTCTTAGCAGCGATGCCAAAGGGAGTGAAGGAGGACACGATAACACATCGTGTTGAGAACGTGACGTCGGTCCTCTACCGGTTGCACGTCCTTTACCAGCCGGGTGGCGCGGTGGAAAGGACTTCAATACTTGGTCACCTCGAAGGTTCAAGCGGCACGGAGGACCCGACCGAGGTGGTCACTCGTCTACGAAAATGGCGGCGATACCTGGCCCGTGCTGGTGAAATGGGCATTGTGGCACCGGATGCTAGCATACTGCTCAAGGGCTTGGACCTTATCCTTCGGGGGGTCCTTGGGTGGTTCTCCGATGTGAAGTTCAGGCTTGACCTCGCCCACAACGATCTACGGCTCTCCTCGGCACCAACTCAGGAGTCGGTCCTCAAGTACTACCAGCACGCCTTAGCCGAGTTGCAGCAGATGGCACCTTCCCCAAAGAGGCAGAACGAAACATCAAAGTTGAAGGGTGCAGCCTTGAGTGGAGCAGGAACGGGAGGTTCATCATCTACGCCTTCTTCGCCGGCAAGAACAAAGGGTCCTTGCAAATTCTTCGCTTCTGACAATGGTTGCAAGCGTGGCAGTACGTGTCCATATACGCATGAGTTTGCTTCCAAGGCGGAGAGAAAGCAGAGATGCTGGACATGTGGGGCGACTACACACCGACAAGGTGAATGTCCCACCGCCGGAGGACAAGGACCAAAGGGGAAGGGAAAGACCAGTTCCTCAACCTCTACGGCAACCGTGAACGCCGGAGCTACTACGAGTTCACCAATGGCAAAGGCCCAGACCGTTGGGGCCGACCAACATTCCCAGGCATCAACCGTGGACAACAAAGATGCAACCCCCACGCCTTCGACTACCACCAGCGCGGCATCAACAACTAATGTTGACAGTGCAGCGGCCCATCGTGAAGAGATGAGACAGCTTCTACAAGAGGCCAACTCCATGCTGAGTAAGATCAAGCTGATGGGCATGAAGGTTGAGGGTGTGAGTCGGACTGCAGAGGATTTGGAGCTGCTTTCACGCGCCAATGGAATGGTGGAACAAGGGATGGCCCTACTGGATAGCGGGGCTTCGCATCCTTTCAGAAATGCCGTTGATGAACGTGAACTACTACAAGCTTCGGATGTGAATGTTGAGTTGGCTGACGGTCAAACCGTCGGGTTGCTCCAAACCAAGTCAGGAACGCTCCTCAATGACAAGGACCCCTCTCAGTCGCCGATTGTTCCGCTGGGAAGTTTAGTGCAGCAGTTAGGCTGTACGGTGAGTTGGTCCAAGAGACAAGGGATGAAGATTCATCATCCAGCTCACGGAGATTTGACTGTGAAGATGAAGGGAAATTGTCCGATGATTGACGAGCTGCAGGCGTTGAAACTCATCTCCGAGATTGAGGAGAAGAACCTGTCACGACTGCGTGAGGAGACAGCCAAGAGCCTCTGGAGCCAGTGTACCACCATGGGCTCCACATGGGAAGTCAGCTTGGACAACTTTGTCGTGACCGGAGAGAGATCCCAAGCCTTGGCTGCAATGATGGACAAGAACTTCCCTTTGTCCCTGGAGACAGCATCGGAGAGATTTTCAATGGTGGGCCCAAACAGTTTGGACCTCAGTGAGGCGGCGGGCTTGAACTACCTGAAGGCCCTCCCGGTCAACAGGAAGATGCGACGCAGGCTACATAGCACAAGATGGATCGTCCACCTCTACGATGGCAAGAACCCCACCACTACAGCACAGCTGAAGCAGTTGGAGGATGAATCTACAACGCTGATTGAGATTGACCTGCAGCGCTCCAAAGTTTACGACATGAAGGGATGGAGCAACATTTTTCGGGCCTTGCTTTGGGCCGCTTGTCGAGGACAAATTGGTGGGATTGTTGGAGGGCCTCCACGTGATGATCGGGATGAGCTTAAAAGAAAGATGATGTACCTTTGGATGGTTGCTGATCGAGGAGCAAGCAAGGATGGACTTCGCAGACCCTGTGTGTTCATGGAGCTCCCAGAAACCAATGGCTGGTGGTAAACAGAAGATTGGACCAAGATCAAGGAGGAGTACCAGCTGTTCAACGCGAGGGTGGTTAGTGAGGGAGCTAATGGCCCACCAACATGAACTTCAGTGGATCAATGAGGGTGACCAATCAAGGATGTTCTTCGCCTTCGAAATGGACGGAGCCCCTCGCGCAGGCCATCAAAGAGGCTGTTCAGCAATGGATCAAGCACCCAGACCAGCTTCGTATGGCCCAGCTTCTGTGTGCAATGAATGGGAAGCTGGAAGATATGAGCGAGGCTGAGCTGAAGAGGTGGGCTAAGCATGTTCGAAATGGTCACGTGCCTTTTGACAAAAGATGTCGAACCTGCGTCATCAACGCTGGAACCGGGAGGCCACATCGAAGAGTGCTCAACCCTTCGGCATTTACCTTGGGAGTTGATATAGCAGGCCCTCCGCGCACCAAGGGTGTTGATGCTGATGGCAAATATCGATACGCATTGGTGGGTTCATATTGTTTGCCGAAGGTGGAGGGTTTCAAGGATATGGACATTCCAGAAGTGTTTGAGGACGAAGGCGCCGGCGTGGGGGAGATCATGAACGAAGATGCGGACTTCCTGGAGGAGGAGCGTATAGACGAACCCCCGAACACGGTTGAAGACCAGCACGACATGGACTATCGCAACGAGGAGTACAAGAAGTTCTATAAGGAGTCTATGAGGAGGTTGGGGACCCCATGGAGTACCAAACCCTTCTCTACGTGATCCCCTTAAAGTCCAGGCTGAAAACCGATGTGAACGCTGCAATGAGGAGAATGTATTTGAGTGTACGACAGGACGGGCACCCAATTGTGCGAGTCCACTCCGACCGAGCCCGAGAACTCAAGTCAGCATCCTTGCGGCAATGGTTGTACGAGAAGGATATTTGGGTCACCACGGGAGAAGCGCAGACCCCTCAGCAGAATGGAAGGGCCGAAGCCGCGGTCAAATTACTGAAGAAGTATACAAAGGTCCTACTTGGCTCCAGCGGACTCCCAAGAGAATGTTGGCCACTCGCGATGTCCTACGCCGCGTACAGACAACGCCAACGAGCTATGGGGCAACCTTGCAAGGATCCACCCTTTGGAACAAAGGTCGCCGTGAAGTCAAAGGTCTTTGGGACGGGAGGTTCTTATGATTTGGATCCCAGGTGGCGCGAGGGCAAGTTTGTGGGCCGCAGCTCGGACGTGACCAACGGCCTGGTGGTGAGGTATGAAGACGGCAGCTTCGTGACTAGCTGTCATGTGAGACCGGGTTTAGTGGATGCAGAGGCAGCTGTGGACCCGGAACCAGTCGAGTTGGAACTTCCAATTCCGAGGAGGAGATTGTGTGAGAAGGCTCGTTTGGCTTTCATCAGGAGCACCTACCACGAGGTCGAGGAGCTTGCAAGGGAGATGACCCTCGAGGAGAAGTTCAGTGAAGATGACGTGGTGAACCTATGGAGTATGCTGAAGGAGATCCCGCGGCCCAGGAGGAGGGGAATGAAGATGATGGACAGCGACCCCAATGGAGAGTCGTTCTACTCTGGAGGTTATGTTCACGGAGGAGTTTGTGGCGTTCTGAAGATGGCCAAGCATCTACCACAAACAACAGCCTACTTGGTGAAGGCCGCGAAGAAGCTAACCGGCAGGGACGAGTTTGGTTGTGTGGCTATTGTGGAGGATGTTGGAATGGGAGTCCATCGCGACAGCCACAACGAGAAGGCAACTCAGAACTCTGTGACCGCGCTCACAAATTTTAATGGTGGTCAAGTCTGGGTGGAGAAGGGCGAGGACGAGTTTGAATATGATGATGAGTGGAAGGCAGTTCGGCCTAACCTATGGGTGAGAGGCTCCTTACATGACTTGGAGAAAGGGAGGACTGTGTTCTTCCCCCCAGGACAGTGGCACAGTACCAATACTTGGGAGGGGCGACGCATTGTACTGCTTACCTATACACCTCGCCTCACCAACCTGACCGCCAAGGATGCAAAGGAGCTACAGGACCTGGGTTTCAGTTTGCCGGGGAGATTGTCACCGGAGAATGGAGGACCCAAGGTTGAGCTCAAGGCGATTACAAGTGATGATGATGATCCGCATCGGTCGATGTTCGATGGCCCTGTGATTGAGTTTGATGGGGACAACGGGGTCGAGGAATGGGCTTCAACCATTTCTGGGCTACTGGAAGATCAACAAGATATGATTGAAGAGCTCCAAGATAGATCGCTGGTTTTGAGGCGACTCTTAGAGGAAGAGGAGATATTGCTTGAGGAGTATCGCAGAAGAGGATATCAGGTGAACCAGGAGGCAGATCATGCACATCAGATGCTTGTCGACTTGATTGAGCAGACCGGAGACACGGTGAAACAGCTTGAAGACGAGCAGGAACACAAGCAGCTGAAGGCCATGCTTCAAGCTCAAGATTGTGATGCACCAGAAGATGTAGAAAGGCATCTTCAAGAACTACAAGAAGACCTACAGGTGGTGCTAACGGTCCCTCTGGAGCAGGTAAAGCGACATCTACCTCTTTGGTTCCCTGCCATCGACAAGGAACTTTCCTCCCTCTTCAAGGATGGCAAGGACGGAACATTGCAGCGAATTCCGCTGAACGAAGCCAAGGAAAGAGAAGCGAAAGGAGAACTTACCATTCTCCCAAGCAAGCTGGTGTTCACTGTCAAACCTCCGGCGCAGGGTGCACTTCCAACTTTGGATTCAAAGGAGGCTTCCAGAAGCAAGGGCAAGGAAAGGTGGCGGCGCAAATGCCGGCTAGTGCTCTGCGGAAATTTCGCAGAGCGACCAGAAGGCCAAGCCCAATCGGAGCTATATGCCTCGGGCGCCACTTCGGAATCGCTCCGAGTGGCATTAACCATCGCGGCTTGTTGTTCCTGGGCTGGCGCTGGCTCTGACATAACAGGAGCTTTTTTACTAGCCCCATGGCCGAAGCACATGCGAAGGTACGCCATCATCCTAGCTCGAACCTTAGTCCTTGCCGGCCGGGCCTCCTCCGAGGAGGCATGGGAAGTCCACCGTGCACTTTACGGGTTGCGTGAAAGCCCAGCCGTGTGGAGTGAGCATCGCAGACAACGGCTACTACAAGCAGATATACCTTGGCAAGGTGGCAAGATCCTCCTGAAGCCCTCCGTCGTGGACCCAGAAGTTTGGATGATCATATACCGAGAGGAGGAGAAGCAGGACACCCTTGTGGGAGTCCTGGTTACCTACGTTGACGACCTCCTCTACCTCGCCGAGCCAGACGTGATCAACACAGTCCATTCTTGGCTAAGTGAAGAATGGCCAAGTAGCCCACTGGAGTGGACAAGTGATGGGACCAGATACCTTGGGGTTGAAATCCTCCAGAATCAAGAAGGTGCCTTCTTGATTTCTCAACGTGGCTACTTGGAAAATTTGGTCCGAAGCTATGATTTGGAGCCCGGAGCACACCCCAGACTACCTTGCCCCAGGGAATGGTTGGTCGATGAAGACAGCATCGTCGAGGATGAGCAGTATGATGAGGCCGAGATGAAGAAGGCTCAGAAGGTCACAGGAGAGTTGCTTCGGGTGACGAGGTCAAGACCAGACATCCTGTTCATTACCTCGATGATGGCCTCAACCCTATCTCGCAGGCCCTGCCACGTGTACCGCGTGGGTTTGAAGGTCATGGCCTACCTGGCTTCAACGGTGGGTGTACAACTACAGCTAGGCGGACGTCAAGCACCACCAGAGCTAGAGCACAACCACGAGCAAGCACAACCGGCAGCACAGCAACAGCAATCAACACACAACCCACCAACAGCAATGCAAGGGTTGGTTTTAGTGGGGTATAGTGACGCATCGTTCGCGCCATACGGTGGGCGTTCATACGGAGCGTCTACAGTCACTCTGAATGGTTCAGTTGTGAGTTGGAGATGCGGACGCCAGGCTTTTACAACGATGTCGGTTGCTGAAGCAGAGCTGTATGAGGCAGCTCAGGCTACCCTTCTTCTTCAAGGAATTGCGGCCCTGGTACAGGAGATATCAGGTGCGGTAGTTCCTCAAACGTTGCTGGTAGACAATGCTGCAGCTGTTGCGTTGATTTCTGGATGTCAAGGCTCATGGAGGACAAGGCATCTAAAGGTACGATGCGCCTTTATTACTGACCTTGTCAAGCTTGGCACCCTGATCGTGAAGCATGTTTGTGGACAAAGACAGTTGGCAGACATGCCAACGAAGCTACACAGCAAGGACAGAATGAATGAGCTTATGACCTTGTGGGGGTTTATTGGCCTCCTGCAACCACGACTGGATGATCAACTTAGGTTGACTTGTTTGCTGTACGATTGTGGCGTTGCAAATTCAGCCTGCTCTAGCATCAAATGACATTCCGTTGGTTGGTGCATATGAACTGGCAATCGCAACGCTTGTGGTGTGTATTGCTGCGGTTGGGTTGTGGGAACTGGGAAAGAAGATTGGAATGTGGCTTTGTGGCTGGAAGGTCGAGACCTCAAAGGAGCGACGCTTGAGGCGCTTGAGAGAAGTTGCGAGAAGCGCCGCAGAGGAGGAGCTCGACAAGCAGCAGCTAAAGAAGGAACTGGAGGTAGAGGCGGAATCCTTGAGAAGGGTTTTGAAGGCTGAAACCAAGGAAACGCTCTGCGATGCAACAACCCAGACTCCGCCGATGCCGGAGCCAAGAGTGGAAGTGCGTACCGTGTACCGGGACAGACCGGCCTTTGTGCCGGATGATGTTCCAGTCACGCACTTCTGGAAGACTACAGACCACAGGTCAAAGGTTCACACATCTCGTGATTGCCACGGGCTGAGGAATGCCGGGGCGGTCTTCATGACAGAGTACTGCAGTTACTGCGAAAACAGAGTTCCGTTGAGAACAACAGTGCGGTGAAGGCGGAGCTCATCACGAGGCTAAGAGGTGATTGGTTGTGACTTATCCAGCAAAAGTCACGCTTCGAAAGGCACACGGCCTTGAACAAAGACGCAGTAGATCTTTGAGGACGCTGCTACGGATTGATCTGGTCGTATGCTGCATGCAACCAGCCACTGTGGAGCAGTGGTCGCACTACGATCTCTTCCCTTTGATACTCATGTAAAGTGTGAGCTTTGCCCGCAGGGCAAGCTCAAGGAGGAGTGTTGAAGATGTGAGTGCGTGTCGAGGTGAGGCTCAATAAGAGACTCAAGGCATGGCACACGAACTGCAGTTCATACATGACTTTAGCTTTCGATACCGCTGTAGAGACCTAAGGAGTCGAAGCTTCAGATGTCGTCGTTGTGCAGTGAAAAGGTTCCGTCGCGCCATGGTTTCAGCTTTGTAAGTCCTTACAGGCACCTCCCGAGTTGTCTCAAAACCCTTACTACTCCTTGGCATTGAACGAAGGATGCTGATTAGGATCAGATGCTCCCTTAACCCTAAACCCTGAAACCCTACACCCCAAGCCCTAAAGCGTGAACCTTACTGGCGATGGCTCCACTTGATGCGCACTCCGAAACCCGCAAACTGAACAAGATTGACCTGCTGCTTCCTTGATTCCGGTTAAAAGCAGAGGTGGCTGCCGAGGAGATAAGTATGCCTACTTTAAAACGACCGAACTTGCAAGGTCTCACCCTTGGAAAGAAGTAGCTTTCCGACTCCCTCTGCAGAAGACAAGACCACCAATCCGGAAACGGGTTCGCTAGGGCTGATCCTTCTAGGGTTTAGGGTTTAGGGTTTTAAGACAACGCCCAGTCTAAGTGTACAAGGACTCGAAAAATCGCAACCAGCTGTGGCAATCCAATGTTACGACAAGGAGCAGAGCAACAAAAGCGCTTTGCTTGCACGACAGCGGCGGACTCAGTCATGCTGGCGCAAAGATCCGCACAAAATCGATTGTTTCCCCTAACTTTCCACCAAAAACCAGACCATGTGAACCTATACCTAGACGTCCCCTGCATCACGAGGTTTCGCTGCAAGCTAGGCTGTCGGAAGACTAGGACAACACCCAGGGAGCATCTCCAGGGTTCAGGCTTCACCCGGCTTGAAAGAAGCAGGTTCTTGCAACCCTTAACCCTAAACCCCGAACCAAAATCATAAACCCTATGGACCCCGAACCACAGCCCTATAAGCCCTAAGCTCCGATATCATGCTACAACTGACTGTCCGGCTGTGAGCCAAATAGGCAAAGAAGATGATGAACACAACATTTTCAGCAACGGCTTCTCCGACTCACAAGCAACGGCCGTACCCTAAGGGCCATGTGCCCAAATAGAATATATACTTCGGGGCCAAAGTACCTCAATAGGGCCTCCTTTTAGGCCAAAGTATCTACTGTTTGGGTACATGGACCCGTAGGGGTAGGCTAAGCATGAGATGTCGAGTGACATGCAGATCAGGTCTCCTGCGCAGTTTCTGCGTAGCTGTTTTTAAACAGTCTCTGGCCACCAAACTCTCAGCTAAAGCCCTAAACTCTAAACCCTAATCCCTAGACCCTAAAACCCTCCCAAAACCCTGAACCCTAAACCCTAAACTCAAAATCCTATACCCTAAAACCCTAAAGCCCTAAACCCTCGGATTTTTCGCCGCTTGGCATCTGGCCCTCGCCGTGAGACGCTGCTAGGCTCCGTGTGGGAGCGTGAACACGGAGCACACCGGATTCACCTGGCAGTTCAGGGTTCAGGGTTTAGGGTTTCAGGGTTTCGGGTTTCAGGGTTTAGGGGTTTAGGGGTTTTGGGCATAGGGGTTTCAGGGTTTAGGGTTGTAGGGTTTCAGGGTTTAGGGTTTCAGGGTCCCGGGCCGATGCTTGCAATTGCAGGATCTGTGAGGGTTTAGGATTTAGGGTTTTAGGGCTTAAGGATCCGGGCTGTGCGGGGGTTCGGGCTTTGGGAGTTAGGATTATGGGGACCCCTGGGGATATAGACCCTCTCAATAAGGCCCCCTTTAAGAGAGCCACAAGTAGGGTTCAGAAGGGTCCCCTTTTAAGGGGTCTCCCTAATACTACCTAGGAGAGCGGCTTTAGGGCTTCCCGAAGCCCCTCAACCCCAAATGCAAGGATCGGAAGGCTCACGGCCTCGACAGCTGAAGGTTTAATGAAGGAACCTCATCAAGCCACCCTGCTCCTCTAACTCCATAATATTGGGGTTTAGGGTGTAGGGCCTATAACTCCAAAGTATTAGGTTTCATCGGGGTAGTTCCTCTAAATTCGTGTCCTTTTTATTAAAGGCCTATAACTCCAGAATATTAGGGTTCACATGGGTAGTTCTCTAAATTGTGTCCTTTTTAATACGTGTGCCGTAGAGTTTGGGGGTTTATACAGGGCCCCTAGTTTAGAGAACTACCCATATACAGAACCCTAAGAAAGACCGTAAGTTTCTTAATCAGGTTCCTATGTGTATATATATATATGTATATGTTCATACATATCTTACATATTAAGTATATAATATTGACCTATATATATATGATATAAAATAGTATATTTTTTTATCATATATTATATATTATATAATGTATATTATATTAATACATTAATATATATATATTGTATTATGTTATATTATATTATCTTAGATTAGATTATATTATATTATATGTTATCATACTATATTATATTATATTATATATAATGTATAATATCTCTGTATAAATAATATGTATATATATATAGATGTATATATATATAAT